ACTAGCCGTCCAATACCCAACTGTACATGAATTGCCTAGTACTATCGACCAAAGTATTATGAAGGACAGGACTGTGTTTTGAAACTTACAAGTCTATCTATGGGCAGACGATTCACCCAAATTATTCTATGAGCATTTATGTCGTGGGATGATCCAACTTGGTTTCGAAACCTCAGAAACAGACCCCTGTTTATTTATCATAAGGAGCATCAACTCATGGTTTTAAATTATTGTGATGACAAATCTGGCTCAGTCCGGACAATGATCTTTTGAGTCCTATGTTGACAGCTCCAGAAGCTTGGAATTATCTCACCAGTGAAGACAGGGAGACATCTTTGGATTCTTGTATTAATTTTGAAAACAGGGAGACAATGTGTGAGTTCCTCAAAAGGGGCTCATCAACAAAGTTATGAATACACTGGCATGTCTGAGCCAGCTCTAAGCTTTCTCTGCTGCCACCGATCGCTCGGTGCTGACAAACTGGTGCCCATTTGAAGAAGAGTGGAGCTATCCAGGCTGCAGTTGGGATGCTTTTTAATTGCGTCCGACACTCGCCCAGACATCACTTTAGTGTACATCAGGTAGCACGATTCAGCCACAACCCCAGGCACTCCACGCACAAGCCATCAAACGAATCATTCGGTACTTGATTGGCACAAGTGACAAAGGCATTTGTTTTAGCCTAAGCTTGATCAAGGACTTGATGTTGGGTGATGCTACTTCGCGGTTGTATGGTTATGAGGATGATCAGGATCTGTTTCGGTCAAGTCTCGCACTGGTTTTGTCTTGACTTTGTTTTGATGCCCTGTCATTTGGTCCAGCAAACTGCAGACTGACATTACTCTGAGCTCCACTGCTGCTGAATATGTTTGCCTTCAGCATGTCCATGAGGGAGCTGCTTCCTATGCGAGCCTGCTCAAGGAAATTGTAACAAACTGCATATGCCGTAATTACTGACAGTCTTTGCGCTCTACAGTATTCGAAGACACCAACGGTTGCCTGTCTCTTGTGAATGTTCCCAAATGTCAGCCCGCAACAAGTATTTGGCATTGAAGTACCACTTCTTTAGGTCAAATATCGGGAGTCGAAGGGATCGTGGCCAAGTACATTCCGACTCTAGAACACGGGCGACATCTTCACTAAGGGTCTGCCAGCCCACAGTTTGCAGTCATTCGAAGCTCCTCATGGATGGTAATCTACCTCAGCCGTTGCTGGGGACTCTCTCTATTGTTTCTTGCTACAGCTTCATTTCAGCTGTAAGGGAGTGCGACGGGATACAGCTTACAATTCAGCTTTACAGCTTTATAAATTGCGGGCCTATTCTAGAAAATAATCAATAACTGCTCACTTATTTGGAAATACAAACTTTACATCTCTTAGATCGTTAGATTAATCAATCCACAATGGTATTGTCGCATGGGAGGTAGCACTATCTAGGTACCGGTACATGTCCCAGTACCATTTATTCCCAACTGCACTACTAGACTAGCTAGTAGAACAATTTGCTGCCACAAAAGACTCCTGCCGCAATCAGTACAAATAAGCCTCTGCAGTTGGACACAGGTAGGTCCTGATTGGTCTACTGTATGATAGTAATTCAAGGGGTTGCGTGGGCAATGCGTTGGACCACCGGTTGGTCCTGTAGCTGAGCACGGTGTAGGTTCAGGTGTAACAAAAAGCAAGTATCGTATCATGAATGTATGTCCAGGTGATTGCCCCAGAGGTGCTGGGCCTGTAGTCTGTAGGTGGACCTGGTCTGGGGTGGTGGTGCTGGGCCTGGAGCCGTGGGTATCTCGAGTGCATCCCATCTACCAGGTACAACGGTAGCTACTAGCTAGCCAGATATGTGGTGGGTGGGTGTTGTTGGCTCCTTAGTCAGATACCGCTGCATACTATGCTATCGTCGAGTGTAACGACGGGATAAAGGAGCTGGTCGACGTCGAAGACATGAAAACATCAATCCGAAAGGGAAACAAAGTAGCTGGCTGCGTGCGCAGTAGTGCGTACCCTAGTAAGAAACGAATCGAATCATAGAATCGAATCGAATCATTCGATGGAATGTGGGGGGGGCAAGTCTGGTGTTCTGGACGTTGACTTCGTTTTCATCCTGACGCACTTGTTCTGTTGCGGTGATGTTTGATGCTTCGACGCATACTAGTACTGTATCTGTGTAGCATGGACAACAATCTTCGATCTGCCCAAGAACCAAGGCTGTTCCATAGACCGATCGAGAGTGGCCTTGCTGCAGTGTTTGTTGTGTCGCACCAACACTCACAGGCACTGTTAGGCTTGTCAATATTCTGCCAATGTCCAACCAACGTCCTTACTTCGTTGAAATCTTATTAAAACGCAGATGCGTAGATTGCAGTACCGCATGGGTAACTTATTGTGTTCTCTGAGAAGGTTGTGCTCTACTATTGTAGACGAATTCCAAAGCAATTAGCATTATCACCAGGGAAAAAGGGTTACTTCCCGAAAGCCTTGCTTTTTCCAAAGATAAATGTTTAGAAGTTAGACTACCCATTTGCAGAGAAAATTTTCTGCTTCCGTGAAACCAATTGATATGGAATATGTATATCTGATGGATTCTGGTGTTTTTCTTGGTGAGATGGTTGCGCCGTCAAAGGTGCTGTGAAAAACGAGGCAGTGCTTTCAGGCGGTTTCCCAACCACGAAGAGCTCCTCATTTGTGAAGATGACTACAGTACTAGTACCTCCTCGACCGAAAATAACCAACAACCCGACCGCCGTCAAGCTGGCACCATGTATGGAATAACTAACGACAACAATGATGGGTTTGTCAACACACCCACTCCGGTTAGTGATGAAAGCAGTAGCGAAGATGAGACCCTGCTGATGGAAGAAGGGGAGCAGGGGCTTCACGCTCGCCGTCGTGTCACCTTCAGCCAGAATCTGACCCACGTTCATGAAATCCCAGCAAGGAACTCTTTCTCGCTGGAAGAGAAACGTGCAATCTGGTTGAGCAGAGAGGAGAAAGACGAGTTTCGGCGTGATGCCTATGCCATTGTTGAAGTTCAGAGTCGCGAGGGTGGCTCTGTCACTGACGAAACTATGCGAGGTTTAGAGTGTCGGACACACCAAGGCTTTGAACTGGCCAAGAACAATCGAGCACGGGCATCGTTCTGTGTTATCGATGAACAGGATCGTCAGGATGAAGCAAACATTAGTTGTGACCCAAACCTCATTGCAGAGGTATGCAAAGGCGCTACACTGCACTGTCGTTGTGTGGCGTACGCTCAGGGGCTTCTGGATGCTCAAGCTGCCTTAGCAGAACGGGGGGCATTATCATTCAACCAAGCATTGGCTCGTAGCATACAACATCATCTACTCATCCCAGAATCCATGTGCATGAGTAGTACCGGTAGTAGTCATGGATCAAGCCTTCAAGGGAAACGCCAGGAAGCGGACGACATGGACTGGGATGCAGTGGTTGATGCATAGCACAACCAATTTATTCAATGTGTCAGCAGTGCGTTTCATGTATGATTCTCATCTCATCAGCTGAGCCACGAGGCTGTGCCGATATATGTTCAATTGGGGCGGTATTAATAAAGAATACATTACATTCATACATGTTAGTTCCACAGGAAGATAGAATTCAACTCTCATTAGTACTACAGCGTTCTGTTTGCTTGACTGTGATGCTTGCAAGCATAAGTATTTGCAAGGGTTCTGCCTTCTCTCACTTTAGGACACTTGCTCTCTCGAATGAAGCGATGGCCAAACAAATCAATTGAGCCTTGCAGTTACCAGTGAGGGTGCCTGGCCTATCCATCATCTAGACAATGCACAAGGATAATGTTTGTTTCATCAAAGCAACCGATAGACAGAAGAGAGACAAGTGCTGCAGCACCACGGAGATTCATCGGGAGCCTACAAGCAAAACGCACTCTCACTGGCATCCCTTGGTTTCATTGGCACCTTGGAGAAGCGGCATCAAAGCATGACAATCACATGAAGCATAAGCAGTACAATTCCTCCTGTCGGGTGTGTGTTGACATCCCTGTTTCTCTGAACTTGATCAATCACCGTCGCCGTGCCAAGACATGCAGCAATTCTTCGCGAGCTTCTTCCCACTCCACAGCAACAATTGGTTGTTTGTGATTGCTATCACGAGAGCCGTTTGCAGGATGGTCTGGCGACACCCGAAACAGTCCAACGGCGCGACCAATCTCCATCACAAATGGGTCTGGCGCATCCTTCATTGTCTCGTCAGCAGAGAGTAATCTTGTTGCATATTCTTCCATAATGACTTCTGCTAACCTTTCAACCGCCCCATTGGTCAAGACGGCCACCGCAGCGTGGCCCCTGGCGACCAATCTAGATTGAATAGCGGTAGCAACAAGCTCCCGTTGTCGTGTTTTGGAATGCGAGATCCAAGACCACATGCTATACGCCATACTTCCCACAAGCGTGATCATGACAATTTCAGCGGTATTTGGATATGTCAAGATGAACTTGAGAGATCGATATGCAGGTGCCAAGGCACCAAGTGCAATGAAGGAGGCGGTAATGACCAATCCTCCACGTGCCAGCCGAAGGCGAAACGGCGGTTTGGGCTTCCCTCTGCTTGTGCTGTTCCCATCTGCTGACACTGATACGTCGTGGATGATTGGCAAGGCCAGGAGCCTAACACTTGGATGGACCTTCTCCATCAGAAGTAACATTGAGCCATCTTTTGTGAGAATGATCAAATCTTCAGGATCTGTTTCATTCCACTCGTTGCGCGCGACCGATGAATTGTCATATGCTTTTGGAGCTTCTGCACCAGTATCAGTGGCCGTACTTTTCTTTGAGGAGTCGGTCTTTCCTGAAAGTGGGTCTTTTTCCGTCGGCTTTTTCTTTTGGTCCTTTAAGCTTTTCACGCCGATTTTGACAGTGGACCGAACACTTTCCACCACTGGTCCCACTCGAGTCGTCACAACTATGAAAGTTTTTGCCACTGGGGCTTGGATGGAGTCCAACAATCGCTGCGATGCCTGCTTGGCACTTTTGAGGCGTAGCTGTCGTCTTTTATATGCCTGCTCTTCCCACCGATCCAAATTCTCATTGACTCGGGCCTCCAAATGGCGGTACCACGATGCATCTTCTTCCACAAATGTAGGATGCTGCTGGTCCTCCTGATTAGTTGCAGACAAATCTGGGCAACGTCTTGCAAAAATTTTGTAGTTGTCGGATGCAGAAGGGGTCGGCTCTGCCACCAATCCTTGACCTAAGGGTAGCTTTCCTGCTTGGAAATGGCTCTCTACGACGATTCTTGATGGGTCGATCGGCCCATACCCGTTCCAACGAGCTAGCAACATGACAGAATCATTGAAGTAATCCTTTGCCATTGATCGTTGCTGTTTCTCTTTCAAAAATTCCTGGATAGCCAAAGACAGCAAAGGTTTCAATTCTCCCTTGATTCGAGCTCGCTGCAACGCCTTGTGGTTGTAGAACCGTGAAGCGTTCTTGGAACTGTTGTCTTCCACCAGCAAAAAAGAGTAAGAATGGAAAGGCCTTGCCAGTGGAAATCCAAGATGGACTTGCGACCGTCCAACAATGGGCACCCATCTCTGCTGCTGATGGTGTCGGAGATGGCTCGTCCAACAGGCTTGAGAGCAACGAGCCGATCTCGCAATCATTGCGGGAGACGCCATTGTCGACGTTTCTGCGTGGTTGCGTGGTTGGGAACTGCCATCAACCCCAACCCCCAACCGACCTCGGTTGGGGACACAGACCTGAGTTTTCTACTTCGTCAATTTTCCACGTTAAAAAATGCTCACCATTCCCTCCTTTTATTTTTTTTAATTCCGACCCGCTCCATCCAGCACCTCTGGGTAAAACTGTAAAATTGACCCAACTTTTTAAACTTTAGTGTAAGCTTCTGAACCTTCAAGAAGTCTCTGAAGTTCAGACAAATCAAAGACAGTTTCTAAACGTGTGTGCTTGCTTACTGGTCATTTGAGATAGCAGTCTTTCTGAAACTTAAAAGATCTTTTTGAAAATGCAGCTAGTTTGTTCGGGAATGGAATGTCTATTTTCCATTTTTGAGATTCTTCTGTTCCTTCCTGGGGCAGCTGGAATATACGTACACAAAACCCTCAATTATAAGATTACCTACAGCCACTTGACAAGGATTGCTCCTAGTGGCAGAGATTGTACTGTACTAGTACCCGTAACTGTACAGGTCAACCCTGAATTTTGCCCAGGAGTACGATGTATTTCCTGGCCAGTAATAGGCACTGGCCAGTCGCAAGCATTTGTTCCTACTCGCACGGTACCGGTACCGTACCTGTACCAGTCCGGTGGCTAATGCCTCTTTTTGAACTGTCCACGCATAGGGTATTCAAGCATCACTTTTTATTAATACAATTACCGTATGACCATATCTTACTTTGTACTCCAAGATGAAAGGTGGCTTACTCCATCATCAGGATAATACTTACCGGTACTATTGGTAACTTGTTTTATGGAGAGATGTCAGATACCGGTACCCATGGTACACAGTAAAATCATGACCAGGTACATGTGCAAAGTATTGATATCTTAACAACAAGGCAAGACTGATCGACTTGAGTCATTTTTGCCTTTTTAAGTTGTCTCATCGGCATGCACTCGGCCAGTCCGGGACAGTGTCCGCCATCACCAGGCGCAGGCGCTTCGAAACAGCCACACAAACCCTCCCACCTTGGCACCACCACCACCGCATACGGCACTCTCTCTACGGCGGTAACCAATCTCGAGCGGATGCCATTTGGGTCAGAACGGCACTGCTGTGTGTCCATATCTGAGATCACCTTCAAGGCATCAGCGGCGTCATTCGACGTCCTCACTTTCGGAACCGCTTTTGCTGTCTATATTGGGGCTTCTTTTGAAGCGAAATTAAAGAGGATCATCGAGCTCTTTGTGTTTGTTGTTGTTGAAAGCTAGCTAGCTAGCGAATAGTGGAACATCACGCATGTCGGCGAAAAGAACTAGCAACCTCATCAATGCCGATGAATCTTCGGCTTTTTACGCCAACAACGATGCCGCCTCTTACAACACGAGGTATCTCAGGAGCATCCGAAACAAGGAGCGTTTTCAGGAGCTTCACTTTTATCGGTGTACGGTCGAATTGATCGATGAACTTTTCCCCAAACGAGCGGGTAAGGGCACTCTGGATCCTACCGAAACCTACCGCGCATCCGCTTCTACGATAGCAGAATGGCGCGATTTGGAGCAGGAGGAGCAAATGGCGTGGATCGAGAAGGAGCGAGAACTCAAAGCGCAAGCGGGAAGCGACTCCCATGACTCTGTAGCAGCGCTACCGGAATCAGCCCCCCCTGAGAGTGCCGAGCTCAAACGTTCCATGGAAGAGCAGCCAATGGTGCCGGTTCCCGTGGCCAAAATTGCCAGACAGGAAGAACCTATAGTCGTCAACGCGGTCAACCTAGAGGTACCGTACAGCTGGGATCCCTACGCCTACGAAGTCAACACCGAGTTTTTATTGGATCGAACGTGCCGTGGTATCACTTTGGACTTTTTGAAACAAGCCTTCCTCAACGAAGATGCCAAACTCAGAGGGTTTTCCATTGTTGTAGGAGATGCCATGAATTACAAGGCCCAAACGTATGCCAACAATCAAAGTTGGCCCTTTGCTTCCGACCCCCGTGTTGTGGGGGCCATTGTGGAACAAATGACTACCGACAACACAAAGACTATCATTGTCTTGAAATGGATTTGCGTGATCATGGCCGCATCGGGGGTGACCACGAATGGTAACAAAATGGATTCCATCCACTTTCACCATCCATTGTGTGATCGGGCTTCCACGCAGATTATCTGTGAAAAATGCAAGCTGCATGGGATTCATTTTATCCATTTATGCTCTGCTGCTGTGGAGAAACAACAAGCAGCAATGCCCGGTGGTGGTATCTAGCTTGCTTACTCGCTTTAGTAGTGGAGAGAAGCAGATAGGCATTTGCGTGGCATAGCTTACAGCGTGGCACCTTGCAAAAAGTCAGTCTCCTTCGTTGAATTTGTACATGTAATTGAACGGTGGCCGAGTTATCGATCGATGGGCACTGGACTACTGCTCGGTCTCCTGCTGTTCCTATCAAATATGTAACAAGAGTCTTCTTTCTAGCTAGAAGTACATGCGAGGTTGCATCGTACTGTCTGTATACCTGTTTTTGATGACTTGACCGACGTCTATTGTTTTGACACCTTCAAGACTCAAAAGTTGAGAAGGCGCCAAGTGCAACCCGCTCGCACGATGATGCGGACAGTAGCAAAAAGTTGAGTCTTTTCGCTTCCTCGTTTCCGCACTGACAATCAAGGAGTCTCCGTATTGATAGTTTAAAAATGTAACCAGGTCAGGATAATTCAACGAACATAAAAATGCGACTAGCTTTTAAAACACTTTGACAACCTCAAAAGACGTCGAGCAAACTAGCTAGAAAGTCAGGACTCCTATGTCAAACACTTCAACCACGTTTTCCAAAACTGTTTGAACCCGAAGACCAAACCCACGACCTCCGAAGGAACAGCAATGAAGTTAGCATCTTATGGCAAGGCAACCCAATCAGCGCTGTCAATACCTTCGACACTGTGCCCTATGCAACAAAGAGAGGGACTCAAAATTCTGAAACAATCCAGAGAATCGCCAGAGAAGCCAATCAACTCCTGCAATGAAATCTACGAGGCTGTGGTCTCAATCCCACATTTCATAAGTACCAGAATAGCCAAGCACTGATGATTCCCTTGGGGGATGAAAAAGTAAAACAACCAAAACGTTACCACAGAGTCGTGTGAGTCAAAGCCTGTGTTTTAGTGATTTGCAGTTAGTTTGTGAGTAAGCTTACTGTGCTCAGGTCAGTCAGTCACTTTTTGCTAAATTGCATGAGGTGAAAGCTAACCCTTCTGTAGAGGAACGGTCTTGCACCAACAAGTGCGAAGACAGACCACCTTCGCCATCAAAGGGAAACCTTCAAAAACAAATCACCAGCCTACCGTATATGCAGCTACAGCCATACGGTACCATGCAGCCCTAACTTTTCCTTTGAACCTTCCGTCCCCCATTGATGGCCTTTTTGCTTGCTTGTGCCATAATCCAATGCTCAGAGCTATGCATATAGACAGACCATGACGTGTACATCAACAGCTTAGCCGGAATAACACAAACAAAAGAACTTCTCTGCGCCCTCGCTTCTCACAGAACAATCCTCTCCGTACGATGCGAGGTCGACAGCTGCCTCTCAGACACCATTCTTCCATTCATCGGCATTTGGACGATGATACTGCAGCAGCAGACGCATCAAATCAAAACAACCAGCAGATTCAAGGCGCCAACGCGAAGACACAAAAAGCCATTGTAACCTGCCAATGCCAAATCCACAATATTCTCGCGTGGATTGATCATTCAGAACAAAAAAACAAATATTGTAACTCAAACACCAAACACCATGTTTCGGTTGCAAATGACACTTCTTGTGGTTTCGTTTCTCCTGTATCAATCGACGTGCGATGGGTTCTCAGAACACTTCACCACCAGAAGCAAGTCTGGCGCTGGAGTGAGGGCTTCCAGTCATCGTCGTTGGCGTGACAGTTTTCCTTCGACCCGTCAGTGGATGTCTTCACAAGCTGCCAATGGCGAAGCTGCTTTGCAAGGGAACTTTCTTGGTTACCAGGACAATACTGTCAAGCCATCCGTGTCTTCAACAGCAGCACTGACTGTGGAAAAACAGCAACAAAAACAAATAATACAGGACTACAATGTACCCTCGGTCCGAAAGGTTCTGGCATTTGCCATTCCCGCTGTGGGTGTATGGCTGTGTGTTCCCCTGCTTTCTACCATCGATACGGCCACCGTTGGCTTGATTGCAGGGACGGCTCAGCAGGCAGCCCTCAATCCAGCTATTGCTGTGATGAACTACTCGGCCAAGCTCATGGTAAGTAATATAGTTGTTGCTATCTATTCAGTCAAGAATCCAATGACAAATCCACTCACGGTGCTGCACCTATAGACGTTTCTGTTCTCAGGAACCACAACCATGATTGCGGCTGCACAGGAAAGGGACCGTTCTATCCAAAAAGATTGTGTTGACAACGACAATCCACGCCAACAAACAGTTCATTGTTTGATTGGAGCCTTGCAGTTGTCGACGTTGGTGGGGGCAGGACTAGGTGCCCTGGTCTTTGTCTTGGCTCGACCCTTGCTCTTTGCGCTCATGGGATCCGCATCCACCGACCCCACCATCTTGGCGGCGGCCACGAGCTATGTGAGAATCCGTGCACCGGGAATGGCCGCTGCTGCAATGGTGGGGTCCGCTCAGACAGCCTGTCTAGCTCAGGGTGACGTTCGCATGCCTCTCTATGCCACGGCCATTACGGCCATCATAAACTTGGTGCTGGATCTGGTACTCATTCCAACTGTTGGAGGAGCTGCTGGCGCTGCATGGGCCACTACGTTGTCACAGTTCTTGTCAGCTGCATGGGTTATGCAGTGGTTGATCAAAACTAAAAGGACACGTGCAAGTGCAACAGCAACATCAAAAGTGGAACAGGACAACAACTTGAAACAATCTACATCCACAAAGTCGACCAGGGGGTTCCTGGCGGGACGCATGAGGTTTCGCGATTTGCTAAGAATGCCGTCTCGAGATGTATCCAAGGGTTTTGCACCCTTTGTCATTCCCGTCATTACCACTCAAGCGGGACGATGCTCAGCAGTGGCTACTATAGATCACGTGGTATCGAGCAGCCTCAGTACGGCCAGCATGGCAGCCAACCAGATTCTCACGTGTGTGTACTACGGTCTAGTCCCCGTGGCAGAAGGGCTGAGCCTCGCAGCCCAGAACTTTGTACCTGGCATTACCGAACGAGATGGTTCCCCGCGCGAAAAGTCAATTGCCATGAGACTGTTGTTGAAGAGTTTTCTAAAATCGGCGGGATTATGTGGGATTATGCTGGCTACCATCATGGGTACATTACCGCTGTATTCGGGTGCTTTCACGACAGACGCTGTCGTCCGTGGAATCGTGTCCTCGGTGGTTCCGCTGTTTTTTATCACATGCTTGAAGCACGGCGTGTTTTGTGCATCGGAAGGAATCTTACTGGGACAAAAAGATTTGCGTTTTTTGGGCGCTCAGTATGCAGTGTACACGTTTGCCATACCCTACTTGCTGCTTCAATTGAAAAAGGCCGCCTTGGCTGGGTCCAGCGTTGGTCTGTTTGATGTGTGGCGTCTCTTTTTGATGTACGATTTGTTCCGGACGGCAGTCATGGCTTTGAGGATTTTCAGACTGGAACGAAAGCGTGCTTCTGCTGGGATGGTGTAGCAGCTATAACTAGTTAGCATCTATGATGTGTTGTATTTGCTCTAGTGGCTAGCTAGGATGTGTATTTGCTGAATCCGTGTGGATTGATATTATGGTACCAGGTACGACTGTACCGGTGGTACATGTATTTCGTATCGGTACAGTCGTACAGCTGTACGCTCAACAGCACCCGTGGTGCCATGCAAAGTGAGCGACTGGACGCGGACTCGACCCGACTTGCAGCAAAGCAAAATTGATGAGTCAATCCCGCTCTGAATTATGTGAGCGGACTCAACTCAACCGGCAGCAACCTCCGAGCTTTAACTAACATCGGCCAAAGGAATATTGGGCTCACATGTCACATGATCCAACACGAGCCCAACAGCGATTCGGCAGTTGCTCTTGTGTTTGTTGATGCAAAGGGAAGGAAACCATCATCAGATCGATCGAAAGGCCAGCTAGAAAATTCAACCATAGTGGTGGTGTGAGGCATACTATACGGTACCGCACACAAAGCAACCCTCTTATCAGTCGACTAAGAAAAGACAGAGAGGTATCCGCAATCTGCATCCTTGCTAATCGGTTAGAGAAGTTTCTCATTCGGCAGATTTGAAATCCTTTCCAGTTTCGACATACTTTCTTCTGTAGTGTTCCGGCACATTATCACACATGAAGGTCGTCCTGACTGGGGGTATGAACAAGAAAGTGGGCTTTAAGCCTCTTGCCGACGATGATATGGTGAGAGATAACAGCAGAAGCCTAAGACGGTCGGGTAGTGAAGAAAAGAAGAGTGAGCATCCCAACCCTCTACCGCTGCTGTCCACGCACTTTGCAACGAGCCCTGCTAATGCTTTCTCGAACCAAGCATCGACACCATGTACCGTCTCTCCGGCATCTTCGGCAGAATCGTCGTCACCGTCTTTTCCGCAACAAACAAGCAACAGTGATCTCAACAACAACAAACACACCAAAGGTCGCAAAATGTTCCGGTTGCCACGGTACTTTTGGAATCGACGTAGAGGTGGAAGTAGTGGCAATAGCACCAGTAGCCATGGAGAGAACTCGGAAGATGAAGAACTTGCCAAAGCAGGCGAATCAGATGATCCTGTGATGGCTGTCTTTCAATCAAGATACAAGAATCGAGTGCGCTGGGATTTGGATGACCTGCAGGACTCGGAAAAGAAAGAAGACAGCGGGGACAACACGACACGTACGCGCGATAACAACAACAACAACAAAGATTCCAACGAATCAGGAGCACTAGACAGTGGACTAGGTCCTTCCTCGTCCTTTGGCGGCGCCAAGCAGAATGGCAATAGCAGTAGCATCAAGAAGTTTGTTAAGGGAGCTCTGTTTGGAGGTGGTGGAGGCAATCAAAAGGAAGCGGCAGCAGATAATGAGTTTCAAAAGGAAGTGGAAAGAGAAGTGGCAGCTGAGAATGGCTTGGTATGGGAGAGCAATGATGCTTCTACTGTAGGAGGAGAAGTTCTGTACACAGCACAACGAAAGCAGTCAGCCCTCCACAACCAAAAAGAGCAGGCACAATTAACATTCTCTTTCACAGAAGATCTTCAAACACGGGCGACCGTCCAAAAACTCATCAAAAAGGCCCGAAGGGCGCAGTCTGTATACTACCGATATGACTATGCTGTCAACTACCTTGTCCGGGCCATGGACACATTGACAACCGCAAAGTACCCTGACCTTCACCCAACCGTCAGGAAGACCCTCGAAAGCCTCAATGAGGCCCATCACAAGCTAAGCAGTTTCAACAACTCTGCAAACATTGTCAAAATAGGGATCAAGTATGAAGACTCTGGAGAACTGGTTCGAGCCCTCAAGATGTACTCCATCGCGTACCGTATACGGAGAGACAACCTGAGCCGGACCCATCCAAGCTTGGTCGTCTTGCTCAACATGCTGGGAAGCATTCAAACAAAAAGGGGTGAATACGAGGAAGCTATGCAGATCTACGAACTTGCGTTAAGGGATCCTCCAAAGGATCTGGACAACGCTGGAACAGCACCAGCGCTAACTCCATCCGAAGCGGCAATTCCCAGCATTGCTCAAACAACAGGCATCCAAGCCGGAGAAGATGAGTCGGTACTTCCTACACCTCCTCCGCCGCTGTCCTATGAGCAGTTTTCCACTCGAGGCAACTTGCTAGCAAAGAGTGTCACTTATCGGGAAATGGGGACAATCTTTGAGAAATGGGAACGGCGGGAAGAGGCTTTAAAGATGTATCATTTGAGTCTTGATTGTGTCGCAGAATGGAAAATAGCGGCAGGAGTCTCGGCGGCTGACAAGGGACTGCGACTGGGCCTTCATGAGACTATCAATGACAGTGGTACTGGAAGCGATGACGATGCCGGGAACAAGAAAAGTAGCTTGGTGGCGGACAACGTAACAGTGAAGAAGTCTTACGCTCGCGATAGTGACGACGACGACCAAGTCGAAAAAGGAGAAATGGAACTGATGGTCAGCCGCAGCCTTTCTGATGTGGAGGGCGCGGATGTCGCTGCCCTAATGGGCACCGTCTGCTATTACGATTCCTTTTTCCCACCGCATTTGGAGAAGATCAACGCGAAAAAAGGACGCTCCACTGCTGCCGCCGCGGCCATGGCTAGCGGCGATAGCGAAGGACTGGATCGGCGTGATGACTATGCTGATATTGATGTGGCGTTGACAATCCATCAGATTGCCCAACTGTTTCGAAAGCAGGGGCAATTCTACAAGGCACTGGAGGCATACGCTGTTGCCTTGAGAGGGATGAAGTACTCGCTTGGGAATTACCATCCTAACGTCGCAGCCATCTTGGGAAATTTTGGCAATCTCCAAAAGGAAATGGGGGACTTGGATGCTGCCTACGACACCTATCAGGAAGTGCTTGGTATCGAATCGTACAGGTTGGGTCTGAGCCACCCCGACGTAGCCATTACCCTACACAACATTGCTACCATTGACGCTGCGCGCGGAAACTATGAGCGTTCGTTGCGACTTTACGAGCAGGTCATGTGCCTGCAACAAAAGCTCTTTGGTCGAGAGCACATCTCCATCGCAGTGACATCAGCTTGTATGGGCGATGTCTATGAGGCCCTTGGTCAAATGAAAGACGCTTTTGAAGCATACGAGGATGCACTTCGGATAAAATCAGCTTTCCAAGGGCACCACACGCTGGAGGTGGCCAGAATCCTTCACAAACTGGCCAAGGTGGCCCTACACCGCGGGGATCACCGTCTTGCCAGCTCCTACATCTCCCGTGCGATATTCGTGTATCGTTTGAACAAAATCCCCGATGGGCACGAGTGGGTTGTAGATGCGCATCGAGACTCCGCAGATGTTGATGCATCTCTAGCCCTGACAAAGAAAATGACATTTGAGTGCTAGTAGCATCCTGGGTGGGAAACCACTGTGCAGGGGCTCGGCGGTACCAGCCATTACTCAAACTCGGGTTCGATTTGTCTCCTGTGGAAATCTAGGTGTGGGTTTGGGTTGATGCCTTGTAGGATCAATCCATAGCCCATAGTATGGTTTCTAAAGGTGAATCGATTCCGATGCCATAAACTGTAATAATTTTCACTCGCCTACACATGTAGAGGTTTGTATTATTCTGATGCCATGAATATTGATTCCTCTTTCGATCCATTGGTCTGTGGTTTCTGAGATCTAAAGTAACGCCACTGTCGGAGCTACGTACCCCTCGTCCCACCTGAAATCCATGTTTGATACTTGCTGGCTATTAGGATACCAACTAAAAGGAAAGGAGGGCTTCAGTAGTTGATTGTTGTGGTCACCATACATGCTGTATTGATCGTTGTCGATTACGACTGAGAATACGCTTGTTCAGTATCGGTTCCGGTACATGTACTATAGAGAGAACAGATGAGACTTTGCCGGTTGACTTCCTCGCGTCGGATCTTCACGCCGTCTCGTCTCCAAGTCAGCTTTTCTCCTTGAACTGATCTCGAAATTCGATGGAATCGAGGTCCATCGAAGGGGCAAATTTGCTAAACCTATTCCCAGCTTGGACCGATGCACGATCTCCCTGGTCAATCTGATTGGAAGATCCTGTAGCTCGGGGACCATCCTTCTGTAGAATTATCCTGTCGGCTGAGATATCCTGCCCCAGGAACTTCAGCACCAAGCCTCAGGGGCTTTCGCACAGAACGAACTTCTGGTGCACACGGGGTAAATCCGCTACTCAGCTTGAACAGGGCGAGGATCAAGAATGTTGCAGACATGCTCACTGATCTCCTCATCTCCATTGCTGCACCCTGGTAAAGAAAAGTGAGAAGAAAAACAAAACAGTTGAGGATTATCGGTCACGAGTGGATTATGCGTCAGCTCATTCACGAATGTATTCCACGGTCAATTGTTGAACGTGGAATGCGAGGTCCCAGGGAAATTCCGTGCACCCAGTACCACTATGAATAGCGGCATGGGGTAGACCATAAACCTTCTGGGCACCTCACAATGATTGGTTTGCTCTACATGTACTGTATTGTACCGTATGCCTGCCATGTCAACATTACAGTTGCAGATAGATCACCATGGCAGAAATGAGGCAAGCAGAAGAAGAGGAGCATTGGAAAGCTACGACGGCAAGCAGCACTTGGGTAATGCATCCTCGTCGGGCTGCCTGCCTGTGCTGGGAGAAGCTGATGTCCTTAGCTGGCTGAACTTCCGATCAGGAGGTCCAAACTCTGAAGTAACGAGGAGCGTAAAAGAGACTGACAAAATGCCACCAGGTACCGCTTGCAAGCAAAATATTCAATGATTGAATCTTCGCGGGAGGTACGTTGCTTACGTTGGCTCATGGCTGCAGCCAGCCACTCCCAAATTTCTGGGGAAAGAGGAACAAAGCACCGAGCCGAGTCAATGATCTATATTGCATCCGCAGCAGCCTAAGGCAATGCAATTGAGGGGATTGGGAGTTCATCCATCCTAAGGCAACTATCACATGTATGCTTTTGGCTGGTCCATGGCCAGTGAACCTGCAGCTAAAAAACAATTCAGTGGCATACTAGTAGTCCAATAGCCGTTGCAAATTCAGAACTGAACGTGTGGCTAAAACATACATAAGAACATGGCTGGCCAGAATTCGTTGCGCACAGGAGTGAGGGCGACGACAGCCAAGCGGCGTCCTCCCCTTGCTGTAGCTGCATTGCAAGGTTCAATCGTATCGAGAAGCTGTGTGTCAGAATTTTCTAATGGGATCTCTTGCCACAAGGTGGGAATGGTGGGAAGCGGTACTTCGGGCACCAACCGCTCTGCTGCTCTGGCCGACTTGGAAGAAGGGCTGGTCTAAGTCCATATTTTATATTGAAAAGCCCAAAAGACTATGAGATACAAACGTCTCTAATGCCAAAGAGGGCGCCATCTTATCTTATTGGTGCATTTGCAGCAATAGGTTCCTTCTCACCGACAGATGGCAAATCGAATTATTCTGCCTGGCTGCCTGGGACGTTCGTATGTGTCCTCTTGGTTTGTTCCCTGCAAGGACTGACGCCGGCCTCACCGAAGCAAATCCAATTGCTTCTGTGGCTTTGAAAACATCAACCCTCTTCTTCTTCTGCGTTGCTTGCCTACCACCCACACATCGACTGTTGTCCTTCGGCAGTTGAGGGCCTTGGACAAGATTGATCATTCAATTCTTTTTATAATCCGAGCTCTGTGCTTTTCTCGGACTCCATAGTTGGAGAGAGGAAGAAAAGAAACGTAAGTTTTTAGTTCCTGATTATTAATAGTTTGATGTGCCGACCATGACATCCGATCGATGTTTTTGGAACGACGGTCAGACACACGCTGGAGAATGCGTGGGGCAGTACTGTGGAGACCATGATGGTTGGTTGGCCGATAGTTAGTTGTAGCGCTATGGTTGATGAGAGGATTACTCTTGTTGTGGCGGACTGAACTTAATCAGAGTACGCCAGAATACGTTCCTGACCTTTGGTTTGTCCTGCTTTGTTCCACGCAGAAACGCAACGTGAGCTTGTGTAAAAGCACGTCAAAGTAGTAACACCAAACACAACCTCCTGGTCTTGGCTCACAAGCCATTCCATTCCAATCAATCAAACAGTGGAGAAGGGAAGGATCAACATGCTGCAGCAGTTGGTATAAGGGCAAGACCCCGTTGGCGTTCGAGCCAGTTACTACTGCGCTCCCTTTAACTTTTAGTCTTCCAATTCACCCGCTGTCATGGAATCGACACCGGAAGAAGCTGCCGAAGGATTGGCCATTGTGAGAGTCTTGGCGGCGGTTCTGGATCGACTCGTCTGTGCCAACTCTCCTCTTGCTCGCACAGAGCCAGGGCAAATCACAAAGTTTCATGCCCTCAAGGCTCCTGGCATCGGCATTCAGCAATACTTGGAAAGGTAAGTCGTTGTTGTTGTTGGCAGTGGAGTGATTGACGGTGATGGTTCATGCTCTTATCGTGCTTTTCTCTCCTGTTGACCGATGATAGGATTCACAAGTATGCCTCTTGTTCCAGTCAGTGCTTTATCATGGCACTGATCTACATTGACAGACTGATTCAACGGAACGGATTCCTGCTGACAGAATTGAACGTCCATCGTGTGACGGTCACTGCCATTCTGTTGGCTGCCAAGTTCTTTGACGACGCCTACTACAACAACGCTTACTATGCCAAAGTTGGTGGCGTCCTAGTAGCAGAGATGAACGGATTGGAAGTCGACTTTCTCTTCCGAATCAACTTTAGCTTGCATGTGTCGCCCGAGCTCTTTGAGCAATACCGTGTGGAACTCTTGTCACACTCGGGCGTTGATAGTCTTCCCTTGCCGCCTCCTTCTCCACATTACGGGATGGAACAGTGCATGACTCCAGCGACGATTCCGCAACAGCAGCAGCTTCATGATGGCATTCACAATCAAAGCCTACAACTACAGGCCGTTGCAGCAGCAGCATCCATTTGTAATCCCGGAATGATGGGCTACAACACCATACCAGCACAGCAGCAACCGCTTACCCATATTCCATCGCATGTCACTCCGTCTCCGACTCGGGGGACAGCGTTGTCAGGCGCTGCTGGTATGGTTGCCGCCGCACCACAAGCCAAGACACCAGAGGAAGCAATCATGGTGGCGGTGGACCAACAGATCAATGCCGCTAATCTGTCAAACATGCTGACGCAACAGGAGTTTGCATTTCTTCAGCGGGCCAATTCCCTCCCACTGCAACCACAGTCAATAATGCCAGTGACGACGCATCCCCAGCCTTTGAGTGCTCCGATGATGTCCATGGTCCCTGGCGCCCTGAACCCTGGCTTTCCCAGTTTGGTGGATGCGGCTGCCGTTGCGGCGGCTGTTTCCTCTGACCCCATGGTTGTGATGGACAATCCACTCTATCACGTGCAAAATCTTCATCATCACCAACACCACCACGTCGCTAGCAACCAGCGCCGTGTCATGGACGCATCCGACCTGATCCATCATGTTCATCATCACCCATCACATCGGCATGTGCCAGGGTTTGTCTCTAGAGAGGCTTCGGTGGCGCAACGATTCGCAGCGGGCCAGATGGTGGCAGGGGTATCGGGAGGGTTGTGATATTGATGGAAGGATGAATTGCAGTTGGCAAGCTAGAAAGAGGATTGTTGGTTGCCTTTTGTAGGCGGAAGCTTTCCTTTTGGTTTGGACGTGCTGTTGCCGTTGTCTTGTTTCCTATCAGCTAATGCATAGCTAGCGCTAAGATTAAATGCTACTCTACCGTACCGGTACCGTCTTTGTTCTTACCAACACGAAGTTTGGTGTCGCCCAACTGCTAACCTAGCTAGTGGGGGCAGAAGCAAGGATTTGCAAGTGGCACTGCAAAGGGGAGCTTGGACGGAGGAGAGCACTCGAATAGTTTTAAAATACCGGTTCGCATTTCTAAGAAGCACCCAGCAACGGCGTCGTCCTACCGGTAGCTCGAGTGACAGACCTCTTTTTGTCTTGGCGAACCGTTCTGTCGTACGCTGTAAGCATCAGAGCCCAGTCCTACTGGTACCGGTACCACCGGCTAGCTAGCTATTAGTGACGAAGGCCAGCAAACAACAACAACCACAATGAAGCACAAATGTTGCCTCCTGCCCAATTGTTACGATCGGATAGCAATGATGCTTCACCACAGTTATTGGTGCCTTTTCCCGAACCAATACCGGCGGAACCGGAACCAATACCCTCGGAAATGGAACTGGTAGATATTCCGATGGAACTCAGATTAGATGATGACGATGATGACGACGACAAGAACAGCAAAATTGAAGACGATGATGATGAAGATGCACAGCGGCCGGAACCGCCTGTACTGATTGCCGATGTGGAACACTACAAGGAAGACAAGCACAACAGGGATGGCGACAATCAGCTGACTCAAGAAAAGATGAACGAGTTTTGGCTGGAGTTCTCACGATTATTCTACTGATTCTGGCCATTGTCGCCATTATCTTTGGAGCTACTGCTGGTGGCAGTGACAAGACGACTGCTACTGCTAGTATTATTGTCGTCCGTCCAACACCAACTGTACCTGTGATACCATCACCCACTTCAGAACCAAGCAGCCAACCTACTCTACAACCAACGTATGAACCGGGATCCCTTGTGGAGGCATTTCGTAAAGTGTACCATGTCGCGACAACCACAGAAATTGATCGGTGGATAGATGCTCTTTCCGGGGCCATCCCCTCAGAGGTTGGTCTATTGACGGCTGTGACTTCGATCAACTTATGTTGCAATCAATTATCCGGCGCTCTCCCTACCGAGCTTGGGTTGCTGACGGCCTTGACCAAGTTGACTCTTCACAGCAACAATTTCTCCGGTTCCTTTCCATCCGAGCTGGCACTGCTTACAGCTTTGAATGATTTGAGCATGTCATCCAATGAGTTCTCTGGCAGCATTCCTTCGGAGATTGGGCAGTTGACTTCATTGGTTTTCTTGGACTTGGGAAGCAATGAAATTGAGGGAGAAATTCCCTCGGAAATCGGACTGCTAACCGCAGTGGAGGAAATGAAATTGGACAAAAATCAATTGTCTGGCAAGCTTTCGTCAGAGATTGGACTTCTGACTGGATTGACTTCGCTGAGATTGATTGGCAACCAGTTGTCTGGAAGTGTTCCTGGCAATCTCTGTTCCAATTTTGGCTTAGATCGAATTACGGTGGATTGTGCACCCAAAGATTTCACCGTGTCGTGCACTTGCAGCGCCTGCAGATGTACGAACAGAGGGTGGGGCGGTGGTTTTGGTGGCTGGGGAGGACACTAGCTACATGTAGTAGCTACCGGTAGATATCAGGTTTGTAAAATATGTATTTAAAACATGATTTGCATACTTGCATTATCAGTACCGGTACCTCATTTCTGGACTGGTAAGCCAAACGTGACTGTGTTGCGATCAATTTGGCTCATGAGTCAATCAGCCAATCATTCCGGTGGCACCGGTAGCATTGTCTGATGGCGGGAAAGGGCGTGAGGCTCCATGCAGTCCTGTGGTCCAGTCACTGGTCGCAGTATCAGCCACTCGGAGATCTTTTGAAATTTCCGAGAGTCAAGTGTAGTCAAGGCAGCATCAACACAACCTCCACAAGTCAAGTGTTGCTGCCGTCAAAACTCTCAGCATGCAAAAGCACCAAGAAACGAAATACCGCCCGTCATGTTCCGTGACCATGACAAAAGGGCTGGGAATAGTACCAATGGTGTTTCTAGCAAAGCACTGGGAAAAGAGACAGCATTTGGCAACACAGACTATGGGTGGAGAGCGAACCATTCAAGCTACCGCTATCTACGAAGGCTGCTGGCACTGTCATTGGTTTTAATAGCTAGCTGGCCAGTAGCTAGCAGTGCTCATAGTTCAGCTCGTCCACCACAGAGGAATTGTTGCAATTGAAGCAAGGAATTACTGATCACAATAAACCCACTGCAGCGCCAAACGCCAACCAGCCCGATCCCGATCCGTGACGTAATTTCTTCCAAGAATGCGTGCAGTGATTGGAATCGGGATTGTGTGTTCCACATCGGCATGCAACGAAGGCCCGCCCGGCAAGACTGCCTGCTTCACGATTTGGGATCCACTTTTTGGACCGTCTTTTCGGGAAGGCAAACCCCCTCTTTGGTACCATAAACTACATCCCGATTGGTAAGCGGGCGGTTCCCCAGCACACAGAATCCAAATCACCAGCCATTGCGCCTAGTAGCAGCTAGTGTTGGCTAGCTAGCTTGCAGCCATGGCATCATCAAAGAAGGAGTTTGAGTGCCATTAATACTGCAATAAAAAATTCAAATCTGTGGGATATCAGCAATCTCACATGCAACAGAACAAGCGCTGCCATCAACTAATGCAGAAAGCCCTTGGTTTCGACCTTGCTTTCAATCCTATAGGTGCTAGACAGACAAGATCAAGGGCCAGAGCTGATCAGCTTGGTTTCACTAACACCGGTCGGCCCGCAAAAGCACCAAGAAAGGCAGCAAGAGGACAAGATTCCAGGGCAGCTATTCCACAAGGATTGCAGGACGAGGATGCCCATGCCAGGGCCTCACTCCAAGGTCGTGGTGGTTCCAAACAAGACGGAGACCATCGGAAACCTGCAGCAAATCCTCGAATCGGCAACAAAAAGGGCGCTGATGGGGAAGGAAATGGGGAGCTAGATGAGGATAGTGATTTCCCTACCAACATTGATCGTTTCAACGCGGATTCGGATAGTGAGCCTACCAGTGAGGACAGTGAGCTCAGTTTGGAAGGGTCAGTTGCCACATTGCAAGGTGACAACGAAGAGGACTTGGATGATACGGGTCCCCCAGACGAAAGCAACATAAACGCATTCAGAGCCTACTGTGTCAAGGCAAAGAAATTACCCGAGCTAACCGATTCAGAGAAGCGAGGTGTCAAACTAATGGATATCCTCCGTAGGAAAAGGACACCTCTGGATACCTATGATGATGTACTTGCTTGGCATTTGGAGGAAACTGGGTCGCTAATGGACAACGAAAAGCTGGGAAAGAATCCAGACTACCTCAGCAGGAAAAAACTGCTCCGAATCCTTAAGGAAAGGTACAACATGAGCGACACGTTATCTTTTGAAAAGGAGATAGTCCTTCCTCATTGCAATGCCCGGATCAAAGTCATTTGCTTCAGTGCTCGGAATTGTGTGGAGCAATTGCTTACCGATGAGTACCGAGGCGTTTTTTTACTGATTGCTGCTGTTTTGAGATCCACTCAAGGCCGTGAAATGTTGAGCAAGAACAAGCATTTCCAGGAGGAAGCGTATGTCAAAGACTGGTTGTTGCTGGTGGAGTCGCTTCTAGAATGGGAAGCTTTCCTTTGCGAACCAAAGATGAGGGTTGCCGATGTTAAGAGGTTGGATCGCAAGAATCGGTTCATTATATACCTCTTTGCCAAGATCTGCAGACGAACGGAGGGTATGGGGTTGAAAGTATTCAAGTTTCACGCAATAATTCACATGGCAAGGGATATCCTTTTGTATGGTGTCCCCAAGGAACATGACACCGGAAGTAACGAAAGTGGCCACAAAGTAACCAAAGTTGCAGCCAAGCTCACCCAAAAGAACCTGTTGACATTCGAACTTCAAACGGCAACCAGACTGATAGAGTTCCTACTGGTTAAGTGGGCCATGGCCGAGATTAATGGTCGGAGATTGTGTGATTACTGTGGGAGGTTTGATCCACTGCCTCCCGAAGTCGACGACGATGGTTCCGAATCCTCAACCTCCACACCGGAAAGCAGTACCAATCCACGAGGAAGGACTACCAACCCAGGAACCAAAAGTGTAGCCAACCAGGAAGAACCTGTGACGGGTGGAGCCATGATGGAGGTGTACTATGGTGGACATGGCGATGCATGCATTGAGTTGAAGGATAGGCGGCCCGCAAGGAGGAAGAAGAGGATTATAAAGAAGGGCGATGTGGAAAGGTCGACCGTCAATGTGGGTGATGAGCTGCTTGAGTTCCTCTTGGACCTGCAGGAGGAAATGGAAGATTTGGTTGAGGACGTGGATGACTATCAGCTCCCAATTTACACTCAGCACAAACGGAACGGCCAAATATTCTATGGTCATCCCAAGTTCAGAGGAGGCGGAAAGTGGAGAGACTGGGCCTTGTTTGACTGGGGAGATGAGGAGGGTGGTGGGTATGGGAAGCTGCCAGGTCGTATCCAGTGCTTTGTGACACTGGAAGGGATTGATGGCGATCCTGATGCCTGTAGAACCAAATTCGGGGGTATCCACCTGGAAAACGGGACCTATGCAGTGATAGAGAGTGCCCACAGGGTGACAGAAGAGAAGGAAGTGATGCTGTCAGACCTGTTTGTACCACTCCAGAAGGATGCAAAGGTCGATAAGAAAACGGGTGAGGTCCTAAAATGGCGGTTCTTCCTTGCGGATGTGGATGCCATTGCCTCCCCACTGTGTGTGGTCCCAGACATCGGTGCAAAGCCAAGCTGTAAGTATTTCAAAGTCAAGCCCAGATCTGAGTGGGTAGAGGAGTTCCTTCTATGGCTTCGGGACCCCTCTGCGTTAGATGACATGTCCGACTAGCTAGATCTAGCCTAACAGTTAGCAAGAAAATGTGACCAGAATAGGCACGGTTCTCCTCGTTCCACGAGACTTCTGCTGCCGATCGGCTACATCGAGCTACCAATTTGGAACCCGGGATACCCAATCGGTAACGGTTGGCGCCCATTCCTCACTTTTTGTAATTTGTGAGAGAACAAGACAAGCCAGCCAATTTTCAAAATGTGTCGCACGGATCAAAGGCTCTAACTAGAAAAATCGATTTTTTAATCTTATATATCTATCTCTGAATACTATATAATGCCACTCGCGTGATTTCTGACATTTAAACAGTTAACAATCGTGGAAATAACTTCCCAATCAGGGAGGTGCGAGGTCACAAATTGAACCAAAAAACCATCTCAGATGGCGCGCAAGAGGCTTCGAGCAAGAGATGTTGGTGACAAAATGTCAACTCGAGAGGAGTTCCATGGCACAAAACATCCACAGCATCCTATTGGAATGCCTACATTAGTGGAAGAAACCACATACATGCCTAAACCGCTACCTAAGGAGTGTAGAGAAGCTTTTCACAGCAGAATGAGTATGGAGGAGGGTACGTACAGACACACATGTACTAGCACGCGATTCCCATTGACTGAATGCGTTAGATTGCAACCTGCCGTTCCGTGTATGACTACTTTTGATATCAACTCCATACACAGGCACGCGCAGTCTCGTAAGAATGGTACAAAGTAAGAGCTACTGGTGTCGGGTTAAGTATGGCCCAACCGTGGAGCCACATGAAATAGATGAGGATCGATCGGTCGCAACGGAAGGAGTTGACTGCAGTTTGCAGTCGGTGCTCTTCAGTTTTCTTCATAAAATCGATCTCCTGCTAGTGAAAAGAGTAACCTCTGCATCTC